CAGATGCAAATTTCTTAGTTGTTTGATATCATCTTAGATAAACTAGGTGTTACCACCAATCTTGACAAGGAAAAAATAAAGAGCCTAGATTCAAAGTTGTCTGTCCAATATCCATTTAGTTTTCTTGGCAGCATCTCCCTGTAGTCATCCATCCAAGAATTGGAGTAAACCCTGCTTAGCAGGAGTTGACTACATCCTTCCATATCTAGGAAAATAGAAAGTTAAAAGCTAATGGGATAGAAACTGATTTGTGAGGTAGGAGTTAGAGATGAAAAAGAAAGATGACAGAAGAAGAGGAATGTTTAATAATTCTTTTATCTCTTATGAACGTTCAAACTGCTTATTAGTTATTACAACATCTCTGGGCAGAGACATGACTCAAAAAATCAAATGTGTATTTATTATGGTGGCACCATGCAAATGTCAGTCTTTCATGCTCGTGTAGCAACAGTGGATACAAGTCTGCATGTCACATGGTTTATATCCTGGCATTACAACAGAAATTCTACCACTCAGTTTCTTCTTTACTGCCCCACCCAACCCAACCCATCCCGTTATTTATGTATTTCAGCTCTTCAAATCAGGAAATAGATGACTACAATGCTCCTTTATTGAGAATTCTTGTAAACTGGCTGCATTTCTCCTTCCCTTCTTCTCTCATTCCAGGGAGGGAGGGAGGGAGGGAGGGAGGGAGGAAGGAAGGAAGGAAGGAAGGAAGGAAGGAAGGAAGGAAGGAAGGAAGATTTCCTCCATAGACTTTCCTTGTGAGTAGCTCGCTTGTGGGTAGCCACAAGGGAGCTACCCACAGGGAAACTCAGTGGGGGAACCAGCAGGAAGTTGGAAATCGGTGCCTTTCCCACTGCTTTTTGGCCCACTCATAGTCCTTTAGATAGGGAAATATCTCTGAAGTGATGATCCAACAGGCATGGATTGTGCAGTGTATTTTTAAAACAATTATATATTGAAAAAGGACAGTATTCACAAATCAGTACTGGCTGTGGCTTTCTGCAGGGTGTGTATGTGTCCAGATTATTGTCTTAATATTGAACATTATTTTAGTAGATGATGGTAGCAACAACAACAACATCATGGAGGTTGTTGAAGAGAAAAATAGGAGGGGGAATATGGAGAAAGACAACTAGCAATTAGAACCAATGAATGAAAATTTGGAAAGATCAGGTCATAGAAAGGGCTTCAGCACAAAAACTAGCAATGAGAACTTGACAAAAGTGATTTGGAATGGGTGTCAAAAATTAAAGATGATAACTGTCATTTGATCTTTAAAAGCAGGTGTCATTTGGCTGCTTAATACAGATAGTCCTTGACTTACGACCACAGCGGAGGCCAAAATTTGTGTTGTTAAGTGAAACATTTGTTAAGTGAGTTTTGCCCCGGTTGTTAAATGAACCACTGCCGTTGTTAAGTTAGTAACATGGTTGTTAAATGAATGTGGCTTTCCCATTGACTTTGCTTGGCACAAGGTCACAAAAGGGGATCATATGACCTCGGGACACGGCAACCGTCATACTTATGAACCAGTTGCCAAGCGTCTGAATTTTGATCACCTGACCATGGGGATGCTGCAATGGTTGTAAGTGTGAAAAATGGTCACAAGTCACTTTTTTCAGGGCCATGGTAACTATGAACGGTCACTAAATGAATTGTTGTAAGTCAAGGACTACCTGTAGTCTTTCCCCATTTGTACTCATCAAGATACAAACATGCTTTGTCAACATCTTTTTTTTTCCCTGCTGGGTCTCCATAACTTGGTCTTCATCTCCTTCCTATCCCAATGAGTGAAAAAGGCTTGTGTTGTTTTTAGCTGTACCCATGTTAAAGTAGTGTTTTCTGCTTTATTTCGCCATAGTCCAAGGTTGGCTACAGTGTTTAAAATTACAGGCAGTTCACTAAACAACCACTTGTTTAGTGACCATTGGAAGATGCAATAGCACTGAAAAAAGCGACTTATGACCATTTTTCACACTTATGACCGTTGCAGCAAACCCATAGTCACATGATCAAAATATGGGCACTTGGCATATATTTTTGACAGTTCCAGTTTTCTGGGGTCACATGATCACCATTTGTAACCTTCCCAGCCAGTTTCCTTAAGCAAAGTCAAGGGGGGAAGCCAGATTTCCTTAACAACCACGATTCACTTAACAACTACAGTGATTCACTTAACAACTGTGGCAAAAAAGGTCATACAATGGGGCAAAACTCACTTGCTTTGCTGGGTTTTCTGCTTTCTTTTGATGCCATATATAAAAAACATTAAAAAAATCTATTGATTTATTGTATTTAGCCATTTGATGGTACATTAGGCCATTGATGAGCACTTTTGTGCTGAAATGCTTTTGGCTTATTTTGAAAAATGTGATTATTTTAAAACATTATTGTGCATTTATTTAAGAATTTAATAGAGCATTTCCTTATTCTCAAATTAACTGTTTTATCTCCAGATCTCCTGAGTGCTGGATTGTAATCTTCATCAATTTTAGCTAATCTGTTGGCTAGAAAATATAGGATTCATCACTATTTAACAAATAAGTAAGTTCAGTAGCCATAGATTAAAGGTGTCTGCAACTAAAGATGAGCTAATATTGGCAAAAGAGTAACCACTACTGATCTAAGTATTGCTGGGTATGTTACTGGTTTTAAAGGCTGGTAATCTATTAAACAGCATCTCTATCTTACTGAAAGATTCAATGGGCAGAGGTCAATATCTGTGGATACAGCTGATGAAGAAAGATACTTCTGCCTTTTGTACTATGTAGAAATTATATTGAACTGGTGAAGTGCCAAAGAGACTGAAGGAGGGCAAATATCCTTATTTTCAAAAAAGTGAGGGAAAGGAAGATCCAAGAAACTATAGAGTCTAGACCAACCAATCTGACAATCAGCTCCTAGAAGGATTATAGAGCAAGTCATAAAGAAACAAATCTAGTCTTGAAAATAATATGGTAATCACTGGAAATCCACATGGCTTTGATAAAAAGCAAGTATTGCCAAATTATCCTTATTTTATTATTTTAGATTAAATCACTCCATAGCAGACTATAGAAATATTGTCCCCATAATATATCTTGATTCCAGCACAATATTTAATGAAGCTTTCCACATAGTTGTGTTTAGGAAGTTACTATTCTGGGTTATATGTCTAAACAATTTCTGGAAGAGGATGAGCAAGTGTGCTAAAAATGAGAAATGATTCCTCATCATTTAGCCGATGAGGAATCGGCTAAAAATCAGCCGATTCCTCATCAAACTGAAGTATTAAGTGGCAGACCATAAAGTTCTGTTTCATTAATATGCTTATTATTGACAAATGAAGATGTGGCAGGAAATCTCATCTAATTTTCAAGATTACAGAAAATCAGATGAGGAAGCCAGGATTTTAAAAGAAAGAAAAATTATGATAATTTTGATATACTATTGAAAAGGGCTGAAACCAGTAGAATAACAAAACGAAATGAAGACAAATTCAGACTTACCAAAGTGAAATCAAACCCCTAAGTATAAAATGGGAGGCAACAACCCTAATAATAGTATTGGGGGGGAGGATCAAAATAACAGTGTTGGAAGGGACCTTGTAGGTTATCTAGCCCAACCCCCACCCAAGTAGGAGACCCTATTCCAGTGATGGCTAATCTTTTCCAGACCGAGTGCCCAAAGAGTGTATGCAAGTGCGCCCGAACCCCCAAAATGCAATGTGCGAGCAGCCCCGCGAATGCCCCTATGCTTGTGCACGTGACCCCCTCACATGTGCCCCGCCCCATGAATGTGTGCACGCTCTCCACATGCGCTCCCCCCCCCCACACACACACACAGGGCAGAGACCTGAAGACCAGCTGGTTGGTGGGAGGCATGGGCACATGCACATGCAGGGCAGAGCTGAACTGGGGCGGTCGCTCGTGTGTCATCAGAGTGCTGTGTGCCACCTCTGGCACACGTGCCATAGTTTCACCATCACGGCCCTACACTATTTCCGACAGATGGCAATCCAGTCTCTTCTTGAAAGCTTCCAATGAGGAAGCTCCCACAACTTCTGAAGGCAACTTCTGTTCCATTGGCTGATTGTCCCCATTCTCAGAAAACCTTGGGAGAGTCGTTGAGCAAAAACAATTAAAAATGCAAGGGTCCAAAAGGAAATTAATAATGCAATGAGCCGTCCAGTTTGGAAAGTAAAACTGTACAAAATGTGTTCAGATTTATTTTATTTTACACAGTTTTGTATTTGTTTGAAAACGAATTAAAACTATCTGAAAAAATACTATTAACAAGATGCCTGCATAGAACCATAGTACAAAAGGCAGATGTATCTTTCTTCACAGTAGCATTTTTATTTTACAAATTCCAAACTAGTTGCATTCCTTGCCTTCACTTAGGTCTGCAAACAAGCCTTAAACAGAATTATCAGGAAAGTCCTACTGTCCTGAAATGTACAAGGCGGTACAAGAAGGGAAGGAGCGGGCACTCACAACTGTGTAACCCACCCAGCCTTTTCTTCCGTGGAAGGCTATTGAGGGCCAGGTTTACATTTCGGAGTTTTAAACATATCGAGCTACGCCTCTAGAAACGGGACACCCGATCCCGTCATCGACCCAAGGAACACCGGACGCGGCTCTTGTGGGTGGACTCAGCAACCCCACTTCACAGAAGAGAGAGAGGCTCCGCGGGCCGATGGCGCTCCGCAAAGGCAAAGCGGAGGCGGCTCGGCCAGAAGGGGAAGCCAAGCCAAGCCAGGCCAGGCTTCCAAACGTAGAGCGCAACCGAGCAAGCCAAAAGGGCAATTTTCCCCGCCCGCGTGGGCAAATTCAGCAAAGCGGGCGGGGTTGGGTTAGTTTTTTTTTTTTTTTCAACCGCCCACTCGTTGCAAAAGGGCTCGCCCGGCCGGGCGTGGGAAGACTGCCTGGCTGGCTGCCGAGGGGCGCTGTGGCGCGGTTTCGTCCCTTGCAGCACAGCCCTCTCAGGCCCGGCGGAGGCGGAAGCGTCTTTCCGTTCGCGCTGCTTCCTTCGCCGCCTCCCCCTTCCCGTCGTCAGTCCGCTTCGGTCGCGGCCTTGGCGTAGCGGCTGGGGAGAAAGCTCGGAGAAGCGAGAGGTAAGCGCGGTGCCCTGTTTTTCTCCTCACTCTCTCCCTTTTCCTTCGGGGGGGGGGGACTCTGACGGGGGAAGGGGGTGGACTCGCCCGCTTGGTGCCTGCCTTAGCGCGCGTGTAAAAAAAATATTTAAAAAAAAACTTGTAAAAAGTGCAAAACTCGTGGGGCTGCTTGTCTCTCCGACGACGACCTTCCTCTCTTCTGGCGCCCGGTTTCGTTGCTGGTGGTCCCCTTTCCTAGCCCGCGCCTCTGGCTACAGGACTGTCCTAAATGGTTCGTGGGACCCCGAGTGGGTTCAGTGAGGGAGGCTTAGTCGTCTCTGCTGGGCTCTTGTGTCCGGGCTACACCCGTGGCCGTTTGCTTAAATGTCCGCCCGTAACAGCCTACTGCCAAACTGACTCCACCTATGAGGTTTCCTCGCCACTCGTCGCTTTCTACGTTGGGGAATTACAAGGTAGTAGTGGACTTACCACCACAATTGAGCCCAAAGTTTCTGTCGTTAAGTGAGACAGTTAAGTGAATGTTGTCCCATTTTACCACCTTAAAATAACTTTGAACGGTCGCTAAATGAACTGTTGTAAGTTGAGGACTACCTGTATAGTATGGTGAGAGTTAGAAGTTGGTGCTTTTATTCCCTCCAACTTAGTTTGGAAGCTGCTACCAAGGGGCCCTACTTTGAACTGTGTGTTCTTTACACACTGGAGTTGTTAGTTTTGTATGGAACATTCTGCAATATAGAGGAGAGGTGAAAAATCCAATTTTTCCCAAGTCACATAAAATTGTGAAGAATTTGGGGAGCATGGGTAGAGTTCGCACTCTACCGCTCTAATATTTTATGTTCTATTAATAAATAGAAAATGTGTGTGTTTTCTTTGTGTCTCTTAATAAATAGAACAATTTCTAAAGTTGAAAAGTTAAGAGGTAGAAGTAGGAACAGTGCAACTTCTTTCCTGTTGTCCCTTCCCTTTTCCTGGCCTTTGAGGATTATATGTCCCACTTGTTGTTTGGCAGTTTCTTCATTTGTCTCTCACCCCTTCTTTGGCTGTCTATATATATTTTTCTGTCTGTCTCCTGTATATTTTTGGGTCGTACCTGTAAAAAAATAGCTAGTTTCTTCATCAAAGCAAAAATATGTACCTTGGTAGCAAAAGGAAGTCAGGAATGCTTTCATTTATGTGGCAACCAGGATCTTTTCTGAGATCATATCTGCTTACTACCCCATTTAACAGTGTGTAGTAATAACTATCCTAAATCAAGATCTGGTTTGAAATAAAGGAAGCCAGGACATAAGCCTAACATGGTTGTTTATTAAACACCTCATTACTAATGTTTAGTCCTCAAAGCTTTAAAAGGGTATATTCAGTTTCCTGTGCTGCTGTGGGTGGGCACTTTTGATTATGTTATTTTTTTAAGTATTCAAACCGGAATTCCTTAATATTTTAATTCTGAAATAGCACATTCAATTTTCACTTTGCTTCAGAAAGGCTGCTTTCTTATGTTTAATCATGTGGATTAGGTGGGAATATCTAATGTGCGGGCAAAGTGTTGATTTTGTTACTGGAGAAATTTTAATTAAATTACCTTTTAAAAATTTACAAACTGGTTCTGTTTGTAATTATCATGATGATATTATCACTGCTGCCTGATCTTGCCAGTTAAAAGTTACTAGATATTGAATGCCCTTGCTGGATGTTTCAGGCATGGTGGGACCAGCCTAGTATTACCATTTTATTTCTTAATAATAATTGTATATCATAGTGAAATAGATAGTTCCTAGTAATTTAAAATCTCTTAATAATTAACATACAACATAAAACATAGTCATAATTAAACACATTAAATAGAAGATTATCTGTTAATCCATCAGAAGAATGTTTTGTAAACCAGTGATATAAAAGCTAACATGAATTTACAAGAGACTTGATTAGAACACAAAATTGTTTTCCCCAAAAATGAAGTCATCCTGTAAATGAGGTCCTGGCACATTGTGATAAAACCAACAGTAAAAAGTGAAATTGAGGTCAGAAGGGTATCTCCATCAAGCAAAAGATAACGCTTTTTGAAAGAGTTGCTGATAAATGTAATTTAACTCTGAACAGCACATATTTTAAAGACAATGGATTAGGAGTCTGGCTTTTATGTCATATAATTGCACTCAAAGTATGCTTTGTCTGTAGTTGCAAAGACTGAAGAATATATATGGTAGAAACCTGTCTGTTTTGAATAGAACTTGCAAGAAGTATTTCAGGCCTCATAAAAATAGCACCTCTCTGTTAACATTAAAGTAATCCCATATACCTTACTGTATCTCTCAATACCAGATATTATTGCCTTCACATTTATTAACCCCATGTTTTAATAATAATTTATTAAATTTTATGCTGCCCAATTCCAAGCAACTGTGGACAACTCACAACAATTCAATAAATTACATGAAATGAATAGAAGATGTTCTGCACACAGATTGGATGGAATGAAACAGATGTTTAGTTCTATTTGACAGACCACATATTAAGATAAAAGGTTTTTTGTTGTTTTCTAATCAATATATTGAAATAAAGAATGACTATCAAAGGTTACCTGCTCTTTAGGTAAGATTTGAACAGGGGCTTTCCCACTACTGTAATAAACATTTTAAACCTATTTTCTTGATTAATGTAGTTACATTGTTTAGCATAATGAAACCTAGCTTCTGAGTTGGCCTTAAAATGAATATTCTCTTATTATTTAGTGGCTTGGAAGAAAAAGTGTTTTCCCCTCACTCTTTTTGAATAATTCCTCAAGTACTTAAACTAGTTTGCAAAAGCAGCTTTTTTGAACCTCTAGTATCAGATACTGCAATGATGACAGATACGTTCCATGCATTGTTCATGTTTAAATGTGACAATGAGCATACTTCGTTCCTTTTTCCACAGTTTCGATTAACAGAGGAATTTGTTGGTATAATTTTTTAGTGTTGAAATTAAAGCAAAGCACATTCCAAAATCATATTGATATCATCACATTAATATAAAGCTAATGGATCAAGATGTGAATTCTTAAAACTGCTGTCTGTTTGTTATCAGAAATAGAAATTGGAACTTATGCAACTGGTTCTGTTTTCCTTTTTAACACAAATGGGCTTTCCTTAATTGGCAATGATTTTAAACGGAAACTGAAACTGAATTAAATTACTTTCCAGTATTGTGTATACTGAGGATCATGTAACCATACACTATTTCTTCACTATTTTTGAATTGAAAGTAAGAGTTGAAGTATAGCTTTTTAATAGGTTTGAATTTATTACTATGTAGTGTATACATAGTATAGTAGTAATGAAGCCAACAAAATTCTGCTAAACTACAAATAGTAAACAATCTCTTAAATCTATCTTAAAGCAAATGTCTTTGAATGACGAAAGTAGCTGTCTGAGATGATGAAACTGGTGGGCATGATAAAAGAAACATACATTACATTTCACTCATGTCATTCAAAATACATCCTGTTTTTAGCTCTGATATACAAAGGCAGAGAAAGTGCTATGCAGAAATCTGGATTTAATGGGAAACCCAATATGGAGCTTTCAACAGGTTATATAAATGTTGGTGCCTTGTTAAAGTAAATTTGGCTTGGATGGCACAAGGATCAGGAAAAGATACAAGCTTTTTGAAACAGTTGCTGATAAATGTAATTTAACTGTCTGTTTTTTCCTCTTCAAATCCAGGTTGCCATGTAGTTTTAAAGTTTTCCCAAAGTCAGTCATTAACAACAGATTATTAGAAATAAAGTGTCCCTAAGTATATATTCTCACCAGTAACACATGTGTAACTATGCTGTTAAGTTAAACAGCAAAGATAAAATTTAGATATGTATTCCCCTCACAAATTAGTATACCAGTATATATTAAGCATCATTGAGAGCAACTAATTTCCTTTCACACAATTGCTTTCCTGGCCTTCATTTAGGATCAGACTGCATACCTCAAAACAATATTTTAAAAAGAGGAAGGAAAATATAAACATCTGAAAAATTACAATTTCAGTTTTCATATGTTTATTAATTTTGATTTATAACCTGGGTTTATTTAATACAACTTAAGGCAGTATGCATAAATGCTTGCTTCTCTTGCTTTTCCTACAACAACCACCCTGTGAAAATGGGTTGGGTTGAGAGAGAAAATGTCTGGCCCTAAACGATCCAGCTGGCTTCCATTTACCAGTTCAGCACCTCTTCTGGGAAGTACAAAGAAGGACTTCTAGGACTAGGAGATGAATACTGCCTTGAGTTGTATAAAATAAACCCAGGTTATAAATCAAAATAATAAATATATGAAAACTGAAATTTTGATCTAGTCCTAATAAACAAAAACTGGGTAAAAGGAGGAAAAAGCATTCAGTGACCAGGTAAATGAAGTTCAGAAATTATATTTTATGAGAAAATTAGCATTCCTAAAGAGAAAATAAAGTGGGTGTAAGAATGTGATATTTCTATTTTCATAGAAAAAACTATGTAGAATTTATAAGAAAAACAAACTTTCTTTTAGTTAAAGTAAAACTAAAATATCCTATTTTGGTAACTTCCATGAATAAAAATAGTTGCATGCAGCTGCATAACTGAAAGCGTAATTGTAGACCAAATGTTTATTGCTGTTTATTTTTCATAGATGGGACTATTTTCTTTTCTCTTCATAATCTCAACTAGCAAACTGTTGCTGTTGTGAAGCAATATGTAGTTCAAAATTAGTAATATTGTTATATTGAGAAGGTGCATGAAAATAATATACTTTAATGCTAAGTGCTCTAGATATTTTTGGCTATTATTTATTTTACATATAGCTTAGCGACCACAATTGGAATCAAGAATTCCCACTGCTAAGCAAAACACCACAAGACCATGATGGCCTTACAACCTCAGTTCCGCTGAGAACATTAAGCAAATCATTCATGGGCTTTAAGTGAGACATCACATGATTGTAATTTTACTGCCAACTTCTCCATAAACTCTGCTTGTTGGAAACCCATTGTGAAGTACACAAATGATGATCACCTGACTGCTGGGACACTACAGTGGTAGTAAATGCAAGGATGGAGCATAAATTTTTCAGCACTGAAAATTTCAAACGGTTGCTAAACAAGCCAGACATTAAGTGTGGTCTGCTTGTATATGTATATATTTATATGTACATAGGTGTGGACACACCTTGAAATATTTTTCAGTTGCATTATGTGAAGCCTTTTAAATTGGTAAAGGCAGGAGATAGAATACACTGACTGTATAATTCTATAGGCAATGCACATAGTAACTTTTTCTGTGACTGTTTCCTAAGTGATATACAGAGATAAGGAAATTTATATTTTCAAAATAGTCCCTATATTTAAAGAATTCTTCATCAGTTGTGGGATATGTTGCTCTTCTGGTCTGGTTCCTGTAGAATAGCTTCACTACTTTTTAGGTAACAATGCAAGTAATTTCACAACATCCCAATTTTTTTAAAGTAAATTTTAAAACTGTTTTAATTCCATTGCCCAGCTTTGGATATAGTGTGCATTAATAACCCCTAAAACAGGCATTATACTTCTATAGTGGGAAATAATTTATTCCGTGGAAAGTATAGTGGGAAATAATTTATTCTGTGGAGAATTCAGAAGAACTAAATACACATTTAGGTAGTAATGGGCAAATAGTTTTTTATAGCCTTTGTTCCCAGTTCAAACTTTCATGATTTTAAAGAACATAAAGCTGTATATCATCTTTTTCAACATTTTGCATCATGAAGTAAAAGCATAGTTATTAAAAATAACTATTAAATCTTTCAAAAAAAACAAATACAGCTACTTTCTGTTAGACACTATTCCAAAGTGTCTTGGAATAGATTCAATGAGAAAACATTTTAGGGTTTTCAAGAAGCATAAAATCATTGGCAAAATAAAATGTGTAGCAAAGAAAGATAAAGTTATTTAAAGTCATTGATATCCATAAGTTATAAAAAGAAGATGCAATATCCTGTGGGCTTTTTTGTAGAAAGTGTTTGTGAAATTTAATTTTATGTATGATAAAATATAAAGGCATACATGTTTTCTTCATCACTATGTCACAATACGTAAACTTCTTTTCATTATTCCCAATAGTAGCAATAAGACTTATATACCGCTTCACAGTGATTTTACAGCCCTCTCTAAGTGGTTTATACAGTCAGCATATTGCCCCCAACAATCTGCCTCCTCATTTTACTGACCTCAGGATCAAACTGTGGGCAGTTGGCAGGATTGAACTCCTGGCTGTGGACAGGGTTAGCCTGCAATACTGCATTCTAATCACTGCCACCACTGCGCCTTATTGCCCCAATAATAGAATAAACAAGTAAATCAGGTTGTCATGTAATTTATAAAATTATGTTTTGCATCTTAAGGAATCTATGCATACACACACACACACACACACACACACACACACACACACACACACACCTAAGATCATTTAAGAAGTATTTGACACTATCTTTCACAAAAACCCAGGTTTATTTGGAAGGCAAGAAATTTCATAATGGAAGCTCTTGGCTGGCCAAATGAAGCACTAATGACTTTATCATCTATATTATCCCTGCTAATTTACTGACGGTTGTTCTGATATCTTCTGCTGCTGATACTGCTCAACAAACAGGGATTGGGTTTTTGACTTTTATTGCTTTGTAAGAAAAGGACAGAATGAAAAAAAGGGAAAGGAACACAGATCCCATTCCTGGAAGATGAGGTATCTTGGCTGCAACTGAGAATTGTGCATTTTACACATTCCCCATATGAGAATTCTTAAATCCTGTTTTTAAAAAAATAAGAGTTAAACAAACCAAAGCTTTGATGATTGAATGGATTGCACCTTTACTGCAAGTTGTACTTTAAATATTCCATTATATTTCTCTTTTATATTTTTAATAAAGAAATTTTCTGAAATAAGCAAAACGTCAGTTTATTTGTCTTTTCAAAATTGATCATGTTTTTGTTAACAGTAGTTTTCTAGAAGAGAGATGGGAATTTTTCAAAATTTTGCCGCCTCTCTTATTTTTGAGGTATCTTCTGTAGACTAAATGTCATTTCTTTGATATTAACTCTTTATTACATGGAACTCAGAATACTATGATGTGGTTGTTCATTGACAGGCAGAAATGTTTTATCAAATTATTGGAAGCTTTGCTGATGAGAATTTCTATAATAGGAAATAACACTTGGCATACTGTCTTGGGAGGACTATGAACTTTGGGAATACTAGCAAATAATGCAATATCTTAAATTCATCTTTCAAACAAAATACAGCTTTTCACTTAATACCTTTATAAAGTTACTTTTCATAATGTTGAAAAGCAGTTCTATCTTTAATGCCCTTTATTAGTTCTTTAAAATGCACAAGAGCAGAGAGAGGTAATCCCTTATCACCTGAGTTTTTCTTTTTCCGTGATTTCACATACTAATTGTTCCAAGGTGTAAATATATCCTACACTATACAGGTAGTCCTTAACTTATAACAGTTCATTTAGTGACCATATTAAATTACAACAGCACTGAAAAAAGTGACTTATGACAATTTTTCACACTTATAAGCGTTGCAGCACCTCCATGGTCACGGATGAAAATTCAGATGCTTGGCAGCTGACTCATATTTATGACAGTCGCTGTGTCCCAGTGTCGTGTGATCCCCTTTTGTGACCTTCTGTCAATCAAAGTCAATGGGGAAACCAGTTTCACTTAACTGTGTTATTAACTAAACAGCATTTAACAACTGTAACAAGAAAGGTTGTAAAATGAGGCAAAACTCATTTAACAACAGAAATTTTGTGCTCAATTGTGGTTGCAAGTTAAGGACTACCGTTGCATCAATGGAATGATTATTGGTGTACAGAGGACTTTTTAAAAGTTGCCCTGAATTCTGTAAGAGATAAATCCTTTCTACCAAGACTTGGCCAGGCATTCTTGAATTCTTGAATTAAGGCAATGTAAGTACAGCTTAAGCATGTTCTTTCCCTGGGCTGTTCACATCCTGCTTTAAATGTTTAACTGGCAAAATGCCCACTGTCTAGGAAACAGTTTTGTGAAGGGTGTAGCTACTTTGTTCGTTAAAAATTCTGGGGAATTCTGCCAAATTGAACACTCCTTCAGATTGGGCAGAATTGCATTCTTAAACTTCAAATTAAACATATCTGAATAGAAATTGGTCAAACCTTCCACTACATAGGATAGTACATTCTTGTAATGTGTAACAAACATGGAATAGTTTCTACTGTACTTATATAAAGTTCTTGAATAGCTATGGATCTAGCTTTTTTTTTATCCTATCATAGTAGAATTATATATCCTTACTCTCATAATCCATTCGCATAAATATAAGGGATTTTTTTTATTGGTTTTGATAACATGGTAATGGCAACTTAGATTATAGACAGATAGACAAGTTGATGTGGATGGATGGATGGATGATAGAAATATAATAAAACATGAGTCACAGTGATTGTGAAAGAAATAGGATACGAGTGAACTATTAGGATGTACATTTGTTGAGTGGTACATGGATTTGGAACATTCTATCTTCAGCATTACAGTAACCATTTTGCCTCAAATAAGTGACTGGTATTAAATAAGTTGAAGAGGTTTGCTCATATAGAAGTAAATAAGGATTAAATCATAGAAAAAAATAAGAATAAAAAGGAAAGAAGTATAGATTGAGTAGAAATATAGTTGTAGTTGGATGGAATTGGTAAGGTTTCCCAAAATTAAATCTTATAAGTCATTATATAAAGGAATGAAAAGCAATGTATAAAATGATACTTAAACACATTAGAAGCATTAGAAAAGATATGGAGAAGTATAGAATATTCTCCAGTGATGGCTCTTTTGCTCTTGTAGCACTTTCGTGTAAAATTACACTTTTCCTAATATTCCGAAAGGGAATAATGTAATAAACATCTAAGTATGACAAGTTATTCTTTTCTTTTTCATGCCTGTAGGTATCCTGCCACTTCTTAAATTACTATGAGTCTACTACATAGTAACACAAGTTTTGAAATCAATGATCAAGAGAGTGACTGCTGTGCAGCCATGGCCAGTGCTTGCAGTGCTGGGACCAAGGAGGAAAGCTTCACTGCCCCCATCAGCAATGGTACTGGTGGGACACTTTCAAACTCTTTCATGGAGGAAACCCAAGGCTATGATGTGGAGTTTGACCCACCACTGGAAAGTAAATATGAATGCCCTATCTGTTTAATGGCTCTACGGGAAGCAGTACAGACGCCATGTGGACATCGTTTTTGCAAAGCTTGCATTGTCAAATCCATAAGGTAAGACAGTGAGCATGTTGAAAGGAAATCAGTAGTGCTCCAGGTTCAGTATCCTAACAGCATCCTTTTCATTAATTGCTCCATCAGATTTCTTGTGTAATCTTCAAAAAATTAAAATTAAAATTTCTTGTGAGTGCAAATGAATGGTATCAAAGGAAAGATTACTGTGAATCACCTGAGAGAAATTCATACAGTCTGCTTTTAAGGCCTTTTTGTCTTATCCGTTTCCAAAATTATTTATAATTCAACAAATCATTGCAAGGTCAGAATTGTTTTTAATCATTCAGTTGTGGTCATTCATGACACAGTTTGTGTTCTCTATGTATGATTGGTTTGATGCTTGATTGATTTTAAACTGTGATATGCTGATATAAAGTAGACCTTTGTTACTGTTAGAGAGCTGTGATAAATATCAATAAGTAAAATACAGTATTGCACAATAATTTATTGATGGATTGATTCAGTTAAATTTGTTATAGCTGCTGCCCTAGTAGACTTAGTGTCTAACAGAATCAAAAAACAATTTAAAACAGTTTTAAAAAACCCACAGCAGTTCAAATTAGAACAATCATCTTAATAACAAAGAATCACCCCTGAATAACCAGGAGACCACAGCACTGTATTCTTTCATTTCCCATTTCTGTCCTAAGAATCAATATAGTATCAAGCAAGTGGCCAATTCCTCAGATTCTGTTAATCTTATTTAAGTGCAAAATATGTACCTATATTCAGGTCTTAATAGTAATCGTTGAGTTATGACAGTCAGCTGGTGATTGCCCCACATAAGGGAAGAAGTTTTAAAACTGAGCCATTGAAATCTTAAATAAATGGCGTGGCATTTTATTTCTTTGAATAAATGACTTGCATATGATACATAACTATCACTTGGCCTTATGGATAAAAATGAAGAGTAGCACTTGATAGCAGTTTTGGATAAGAAAATGCAGTGTAATGATTTCAGTAAATCTTTATTTTTTATAATGTATTAATCTCATTCCTCCACCTACACTGCTTTGTCTCCATTATTATGAAAGTTATTTTGCTTAAAAACCAAGGCAGCTTCCCAGTATTTTGTGTTTTTATGTTAAATAAAGGTTGAAATATATGGTAAACGTAGACTATGAATGGAAGTTAAAATTACAATGTCCATTTTTAATTGGAAGTTGGATTGCTGTTATGAGAATTGTGATCAAGCAATTGGCCTCTACTGCATTATAAATTATGTTAGTGTGACAGAGGTTGTAGGAACTCAAGTCCTCAATACTTTTCTCCATTATTTTAGTACTAGAATCATGGGCCTTAGCTTTTATTCCACTGAAAAAAAATAAAATCATTTTAAAACCTTCCCATGAAGTTCAACACCTATAATGACTGAGTTTTAAATATAAGCTTCCCTTTTCCCTTCCTCAAATAAACATTTCTTGATTTTCATAATGTCTGAATTTATTAGACAAATGTCTAAAAAATTAAACCTTTTTTTTTGGTTCAGTTATATTTTAATTGTTTACAATCTATTTAAAAATAATAGTATAGCAGTGTGAATCCCACATATACGTATATCCATCCATTTAGCACTAGAAACTCAGTATGTTAAATTCTGACTTAAAAAGTCCAGACCTTAGATATATGGACATATCCAGGAACTCTCTTTCAGCATCAAACCACAAATTCCGGTTTCTCCACTGATTCTGATTCTGTATGTTCTGTTTTAAATATTTTAAAAAATGAAAATGAAACAGATATATTGTCTAAGAAATAAATACACCACGTTACATGTCGTAAATATATGAAATGAATATGTTTATATCTTGTGTTAGCCATACATATACACACAGAGAGAGTGGAAGTGTATATTTTGCGACCTGGATAAATGGAAGCAAAAAGAAAAAAAAATCTGGAATATTACTTTTCCTTGACTCCCTTCCCAGCTGCAATCTCTATTCCCACCACTCCTAAGGTATTTCAATTAATCTGCTATGAGCTGTAAAAGATGATGTAGTTAGAGGAAGACATTTGCAGACTGTGGCTGTGAGGAGGGGCAATCAAGCAGGAATAAAAATGACTTCCAGTTCATGTGAGACACTTTTGAACCAAAGCTGATTGTTTGCAGAAATGTGAAGAACCATATTATAGCCAAATGCTATTTGGTATTAATACATACAGCTACATACAAACATACACACACATACCAGTATATGCACACAAGCATGCATAGATGCATACATTTATATTGTTTCTTTTTGACAGAGATGCAGGTCATAAATGTCCAATAGACAATGAAATCTTACTAGAAAATCAACTCTTCCCTGATAACTTTGCAAAACGTGAAATCCTCTCACTGACAGTGAAATGTCCCAACAAAGGCTGCAGTCAAAAGATGGAGCTAAGGCACTTAGAGGTAAGTTTTAATGTGTATTTTGTTTTAAGAATTAAAGTTCAGTTCTATATCATTCTGATCAGTATATTTAGGATTTATAAAAAGAGATACTTAGGATATGCAAAGCAACAACTCTTGAAAGAAATGGATAAAAGGGATATTTCTGTTAGAATAAGTTACAGATAGTCCTCAGTTACAGTGTTAATTGGGCTGGAATTGCTATAGCTTAGCAACAATCCTAAAGTGCAATGTCACAAAATTGCATTGCTTAATGACAGCAATTCTGACACTCTCAGTTGCTGCTGTTAAGCAAATCACTACGGGTGAGGTCCTCATGGTTTGCACCTTCCTGTTAGCTCCTCCATTGACTTTGCTGAGTCAGCAAAGAAGTTGGAAACCAAGAACCACCTGTAATAACATTAAGAGTCTTCTGAAGGCCATGCCCTTAGGAGTACTTCATAAATGGATTTCAGCTGCTCACTTACGAGTGTTATCTCTGACTGCAGCAGGTCATAATATTTGTTACATTTTAAGTTTACTATTGATTTTGTAATACAGGTTGATTTTAAATGAAAAAAAAATAGATTGTGGGTCACAAAGTATGACAATATTTCAGGGGTGAAATGCTCCGGGTTCGGACTGGATCGTCTAATCCAGTAGTGATGGAGGCGGATGGTTCAGAGAATCGGTAGCAAAAATCCCTGCGCTCCCCCCCCATGCCCAGCTAAGCCGCACAATCATCAGAGGCTTTTTTTTAACTTTTAAAAGCATTTTTTCTACAACCTCTTCGGCCAAAAAAATGCTTTTAAAAGTAAAAAAAAAAGCATCTGATGATCGCGCGGCTCAGCTGGGATGTCAAAGGCTTTTAAAAGCATTTTTTCAACAACCTCTTCAGAGGTTGTAGAAAAAATGCTTTCAAAGGGCTCTGATGATCCCAGCTGACTTGCCTGATCTGCAGAGGCTTTTTTTCTTCTAAATGCATCTGACTATCAGGCAACTCAGCATGGATCGTCAGAGGCATTTAAAAGAAAAAAAGCCTCTCCCGATCAGGCAACTCAGCTGGGATCGTCAGAGCCTTTTGAAAGCATTTTTAAACCTCTTTGTCGAAGAGGTTGTAGAAAAAATGGTTTTAAAAGTAAAAAAAAAAAAGCATCTGATGATCGCGCAGCTCAGCTGGGATGTCAAAGGCTTTTAAAAGCATTTTTTCAACAACCTCTTCAGAGGTTGTAGAAAAAATGCTTTCAAAAGGCTCTGATGATCCCAGCTGAGTTGCCTGATATGCAGAGGCTTTTTTTCTTCTAAAGGCATTTCTTCTAAATGCCTCTGACTATCAGGCAACTCAGCATGGATCGTCAGAGGCATTTAAAAGAAAAAAAGCCTCTCCCGATCAGGCAACTCAGCTGGGATCGTCAGAGCCTTTTAAAAGCATTTTTAAACCTCTTTGTCGAAGAGGTAAAAAAAATGGTTTTAAAAGTTAAAAAAAAAATTGGCCACGCCCACCCAGTCACATTACCCCCCTTCCCACCAAGCCACGCCCACAGAACCGGTAGTAACAAATTTTAGATTTCACCACTGCAATATTTCTATAACACCATTGAGAAAAACCATATGAAACCATCTGTCTATTTTTGCTTTTATAGTTGTTAAAGCTATAGTTAGTTACCAGTAATGTTTTTGTCTGCTAATATTATAATTATGGTTAAACGCTATATTCAGGAATTATGTAAAAAATTAGTAGAACTTTGGTTTGATTTGGTTTGGTTTTTGGTGACTGTTCTTCTAATGGCTTTTCCCCAGGATCATGAGTTACATTGTGGATTCGCATCAGAAAAATGTTCTCAATGTCAAGGGATTTTCCAGAAGAACCAGTTGCAAGAACATATTAAGCTAGAATGTCCACGGCGGCAAATTGCTTGTCCAAATTGTGCCATGTGTATGCCTTATGAAGAAAAAAAGGTATGTTGCAAAACAGAACTGTTTTTATATTTATACTAATTTAATAAGCTTATTTTAATAATGGATTTATTATTATTATTATTATTATTATTATTATTATTATTATTATTATTATTATTATTATATATTATTATTATTATTATTATTGCTTTCATTTATATGCCGCCCTTCTCCGGAGACTCAGGCGCTTACAATGCGTTAAGCAATAGCCTTCATACTTTTGTATATGTATACAAAGTCAGCTTATTGCCCCCACAATCTGGGTCCTCATTTTACCTACCTTTGAAAGGATGGAAGGCTGAGTCAACCTTGAGCCTGGTGAGATTTGAACTTGCAGTAATTGCAAGCAGCAGATGTTAATAACAGTGCATTAGTCCACTGTACTACAGGCTCTGTTCTAAAGTTTCTTTCTGTTGTCTCATATAAAATGGTATATTCCATAAAATGGAGTATCCTATTCCTCAGTCCACTGAGGTAATAACATCTTCCTGTGGAAATGATCCTTCTTCAGTTCTGCCTGGTCATTATCTTAATCTAGATGAGAACAATGAAAACTCTTTCTAGATAATATTGGATGTAGACCAGTATTTATTGGTGTCAGAGCAGAAAGTGGTATACGGCTTTTTTTTTCCTTCTGTTCAATCATGTCCTAAATGATTTGAACAAAATGTTTGTGTTACACTTACTTTTAAAATAACTGTAAAAGTAGTCCTTTACGACCAGTCGCTTAGTGACCATTCAAACTTACAATAGATCTTCCTAGAGCTACTTACAACCTGGTTCTGAAGTTCTGACAGGAGGGCACTGCTACAATCACAAATGACATGACAGGCTCTCAACAACAGACTTGTATTTAAGGCTGTTTGCCGCATCTCGTCATGTGACTACTATGTTTTATGATGTTTTTGCTGAAAACTGGCATTTTTGGTTTTCAGCAAAAAACACCATTATGAACACTGGGTTTGCTTTACAACCCGTGTACTCCAGTGGTGGGTTTCAACAGTGTTACAACCAGTTTGCTTCACGCTTTGCATGCACTTCGCCCGAACCGGTAGAAACCACCCCTGGCGACTGCCAGCTTTGCTTAATGACAAAAAAAGTCATGTGGGTGACCCATTTTTATGATCATCACAATTTACCATTGTAATGGGCAGGCTTCATTATGGCTATAAGTCAATGGCTATATACATACCGTAATTGTACATAAACTATACTCATTCCTCATCTGAATATTCTGCTGTAGATTCTGTAGAAGTTACTTTTTTGTCAAATGTCTCAATGCAGCTGTACACAACCATAGCAGTAGAGAAAAAAGTTTGAGAGCCTTACCAGCAGCATTGACATGAGTTACACCAAGGGAAACCACCTTCCTGTTCTCATGGTGTTTATTGGGCTAACGAATCTCCACACCATTCTGCTACTAGTTCACCTGTTTTCACATCAGTGTTTTGATAAACACAGTTTCTATTTCCATGGGATTTTTCAAGAAGGTAACTCCCATGGAAAACAAAATTTGAATGTACATGCCTACATACATGAGTTGAGAAAAAGGATAATAGTTCTGCCCTAGAAGCATGGCTTTATAAAATGCTCTCAATCCCTCTGACTTCATCTGAGTGGGTACCCTCTATTAATTCAAAATTCTTATTCTGGGAGAAAGGCAGACAATCTTATTTCACAATCTTCTGCAATTATGAGAGAGAAGTTGTATCTTAGATTGTAAAATATCCAATAATCCTAATTATGAATCATTCCCTTTCCATGACAACTAATTTTATTTTATTTTTTTGCTTTCACTAAAATAAAGGTTCATGATGAAATATGCCTTTTGGCAAATGTCTTCTGTACATATTGTAATACAGCGCTAATCAGAGAACAGGTAAGGGACATATTTTGTTTGCTTTTTATTTATTACTTTGCTCAAAGCCTTAATAGCACAAATTGGTAAGTCATAGTTCTGATTATCACTATTACTATTAATAGTAATATCATTACTATTATCCTTCTCAGCTTTTCTATTACCTATTCCTTTAACATCTTATGACTATCACCTTGTTGTTTGTATCTTACGATTTAACTTGATTGCTTTTATTTAGTATCTTATGACTGAGTGTTGTATCTTATGATTCGTGATGATTGTATTTTATGATCATTATCATGATTTATCACTTGTTCTTCATATGTACATTCAGAGCTTATGCATGGGAGACAAATTCCTTGTGTGTCCAATTGTGCTTGGCCAATAAAGAATTCTATTCTATAAAGAATTCTTTCATTCATCATGAAGCATAAAGGGTTAGTGTGAATTGTTACATAGAGTTAAATGCCAGGGAGGAACATTATCTTGTGTTTTGTCCTACCTGATTTTAGATCTATATTATAATTAGATTCAAAAGACTTTTGTGTGTGTGTTTGTATGTACAGGCACAAATATCTTGGGACCTGAGTATCTGAAAGCTTTTTATCAATGGGATACCATTGATCTGAAGAAAATTTGTTTTCCATTGTTTTTCAATAACAGACCTGGCAGCCAATTTAAATAGAAATTGAATCAGTTTTTTTTATGTACCACTCATATTGTAGGCAACGTAAAACAGAATAGATAATAATATAATCCTAGGTTTCATTTTATGATGATGTTTGCAAAGCTTGTCAGTTTTATCAAAACTTTGGCTAATTGGATCTTGTTATCCAAAAGAAAAATACATAGCTAAATAAATTTAGTATAAAATTAAATTAAATTTATAAAAATAAATTAAATAATTTATTTAAACTTTTGCCAATACCATCTAAAAGTATTACATTTAATATAATGTAATTTCAGTGGAGTATAATGCTACTGATGAATTATGTTTACAGTAATAGTGGCAATGTTTTTGAATCTGTTATTTTATTTGATGCCTGGAAAATGATCTGAACTTGAGCGTAAACATTTAGACAATATATGTCAAATTTGCTATGAATTTTCAACTTTTTTCACTATCAAGAATATTAATTTAATAAATTCTGTTTTGTTATAAATGATACATATCTACTTTTCAGTATAGGATTTCTGGAAACTACAGATCATTCTTTTTTCTTTTTATAGCTGCCTAATCATTATGATAATGACTGCCCTATTGCTCCAGTACCATGTACTTTTAGTGCATTTGGATGTCTCGAAAAGGTAATTTAAATTAGTTTTATATATGTATATGCTTGCTGATTTTAGAAGAATATTTATCAAACAGTATTGTAATTAATGTAAAATGTATAAAGATTGATCCCACTATGATCATTTAGTTAGCCCTGAGACAAAGAAAATTTAGGCTGCATGCTCCTACAAATCACACACGGCCTTTTTACAATTTATTTATTTATTTATTGGTTCGATTTATATGCCGCCCTTCTCCGGACACTCAGGGCGGCTTACAATGCGTTAAGCAATAGCCTTCATACTTTTGTATATACCTGCTTAGTAGGGCTTTCTGCCCCCCCAAGTGGTGTTCTTTTTTATACAAAGTCAGCTTATTGCCCCCACAATCCGGGTCCTCATTTTACCTACCTCGAAAGGATGGAAGACTGAGTCAACCTTGAGTCTGGTGAGATTTGAACTTGCAATAATTGCAGGCAGCTGGTGTTACTTAACAGCACTTTAGTCTGCTGCGCCACCAAGGCTCGTACCAAGGCAATGCTTTAGAAGGCCTCAGAAGCATTGTGATAAGGCAGTCCGTGATTTGAAGACTTGCATAAGGGCATCTTACCAGCTTTTGGGAGGACTCAGAAGCATCATGAGAAGCATTGCACAATTTGGAGAAGATCAAATACAGTAGTCTTGGGAAGAAGTCATGGCACAACAATCAGCTGCCTTGCATAGGACTACGCATACCTCATCAACAGAGGAAGAAGAAGGCTGGGGCTGAAATAGAGCCTTGGAGGGGGGAAAATCTTTGTTTATTCAGGTGTATATGATTGTCAAAATGTAGCCCATTTTTCAATCCAGGCTCTAGGGTAGAAAAAGTCTGTCTTTCCTGAAAATCAGTTCAGAATTAATTTTGATTTTTCCGTGGAATGAGTTAATTCTGTAATTGCTAATGTGAAAGTAATTAGCTTTCATTTAGTGGGATTTCAATTTAGTGTCTGCTAAGGCTTTTTAGTTTCTTTCCAACCAATATAGTAGTTTTTTGTTCTGAATTATTAATTTCTTCTCTTGCAATAATTCATTGTAGATAAAATTTGCAGGATGAAATAGATTCCATGTAGAGGGGAGGAAAAGGAACTTTCCAATGAGGCTGTGAAATACAGTACCTTGAACTGCTGAATAATGGATAGCACATACAGAATTTAAATCTCATATTTATTTCAGAAGAACAAGCTTGTCATTCTGGCTTTATATGACTTTCCACAGCTGGGAGACTTCCAAATAACATTAGACTATGACGTCCAAAATTCTAACCAGGATTCTAACTAGCCACTGGTGATTAGGAATTGTAGCTCAACGCATTCTGGAGGGCTTCTGGTTGAAGTTTAAACTATTCCAAAGTTAAAGTATATACTAATGTAAAAATAAAGCCAAGTAATTAATATAATATAAATAATAATCTCTATATATTTGATCTGTGTGTATGTGGTCTCAGTTTGCTAATTTATTGGAGTGGAAATTTGTAATTATTCTAAAATGGGGATTAACTAATAAATTCCAGAAAATGTTGGTAAATCAATTCTGTAGAATATCACCATGACTTTTTAAAGAAAAAGGAGTAACAGCAAAAATATTTTTACACAGTTAAGCAAAATATTTCAGTATATGAAAAATAAAGTACTTTAACAATGTAGATCTGTAAAAATGAAAATAAAATATTTCAGTAAGTTTTTATAATTTTGCAGATTTTTTAAAGTACATAAATGTTTTTCGGCTTCCCATCTTAAACTGCTGTTTTGTAATCTTTATATATTCATGTGAGAATGTTTATTCAAATGTTCTTTTCAAAGGAAAAGAGTATATGCTGATTATGTTCTTCCTGTACTTAAATAAGAAAAAAATTCATTTCAGTCTTCATATTTTCTAATCTATTTGCCCGACCATTAATGTTAAAAAGTTATTGTTAGCATGTGAAGGGTTACATTCTTGACAAATATAAATTTTAAAAACAAAGTTCTAAAAATATTGTTTACATACAAAATGACATAGTTCGAATATTACATTAATGATCATTAATACTGATGCTATTTTAAGTAGCTGAAAATATTTTGTTTTACACCTGAGTATTTTCATAGACCTGATCTGCTTCTGACCATTTGAAATCCCTACAATATTAATAGTTCAGTTCTGTTCAGTTTATCCTTCTTTGTTTCAGCTAATATAAAGCAATAAAGCTACTTCTTTTTTAATGCAGCATTTTCCTTTCGCCATTAAGACTTAGTCCTTGATTTTACTCAAAAGAAATAGAGTTGTATTTACTTTTGTCTAATTGCAGATGAAGAGAAATGATTTGGCGCGCCACATGCAAGAATTTACTCAGGTTCATATGAGAATGATGGCTCAGACTCTTCGGAGCATCAGTGTTACTACTCCAACTTCCATGAATTTTTCTGGAACTTTACCCTTTGACCCATCACTCTTCTCTCAAGGCATGCCACCCTCGTGTGAGTGTAGCCCAGAGGTCCAGAACTTCAAGGAGACTATTCAGCAACTGGAAGGTCGCTTGGTAAGGCAAGATCACCAAATTAGAGAACTCATTGCAAAAATGGAGACACAACACTCCCAGATGGGAGATCTCAAACGCACCATCCGAACTCTAGAGGAAAAAATGGCTGACATTGAAGCCCAACAATGTAATGGTATTTTCCTGTGGAAAATTGAAAATTTCAGTGCATACCTGAAAGCCCAGGAGGAAGAAAGACCCGTTGTGATCCATAGTCCAGGTTTCTACACAGGGAAACCAGGATATAAACTTTGCTTGCGTCTGCATATCCAGTTACCAAGCGCTCAACGTTGTGCTAACTACATTTCTCTTTTTGTTCATACCATGCAAGGGGACTATGACAGTCATCTCCCTTGGCCTTTCCAAGGCACCATACGTCTATCAATTTTGGATCAGTCTGAAGGATCTCCAAGACACAACCATGAAGAAGTAATGGATACCAAGCCTGAGTTGCTAGCCTTCCAACGTCCTATGGTCCATCGCAACCCAAAGGGTTTTGGATATGTAACTTTTATGCAGTTGCAAGCCCTAAAACAAAGAACATACATAAAAGATGATATTCTCTTGGTACGCTGTGAAGTTTTAACACGTTTGGACTTAACCAGTCTCCGAAGAGAAGGTTTTCAGCCTCGTAGTACAGATGGAACATCATAGCCTATTGTCCAGTCTTGATTGTTATGTAATTATGAAAACCAAGCTTGGTTTTAATAAAACCAAACTTATTTTAAACCCTTGAGGGGAGCAGCAAATGAAGCTCCTGTTTCAAAAAGAAAAAAGTCACAACGTTAACCCGAGGTAGCAAAATTCTGGTAGTGTCACTTCTTCCTCCTTAGGAATCAAAAGGCAGCAGTAATAAATAAATACACATTTTATGCCTTTTTTTGCTACATGAAAAATCTTTCACCTATAGCAGCTGCTTTTTCTATCTTTTTATATGAAGAATCTGCAGAACTGTAAATGAAGGGTGAGATTCATAAAAATCAAGATCTTGAAGCAGAAGTTAGACTGTCAGTCTGGAAAAATAGTATGCTTTTCAGGAAAGGGGAAATCGTTCTTCTGTCATAAGACAAAATATATATCTAGTGTACTCTGTTGTTCCTTTTGGTGAGCTAGATAACTGACTTATCAGTAGCTGACGTGCTAAAAATTGTAATTAAAACAGAGCCACTTACTGTACAGTCAGGAGTGGGCCAAATTCTATTGTTATTTATCATAAGAAGGTTGACAGCTAAAGCTATAAACGTTGTATTTGTATCTCAGAAGTTATATTATGAAATATGTCTACATAAGAGGCAAATAGAAAGTGGGATATCTCAGGGTTCTGTCTTGGGCCCAGAATTCTTGAACATTTTTATAAATTACTTGGAGAAAAGGATGGAAGGGAAACTTACCAAATTTGCAAATAGCACAAAGCTATCGGATGACATGCTCAAGGTTAGAAATGTTTCATTATGCTTGAACAATTGGACTTTATGCAAGTAAATACTATTCAGTGGCCAAAAAAAAGTCAGGTTCTGCACCTAGGTGGAAAAAAATCAGATGCACAGGTAGAAGATAGACAGTAACTGGTTCAGCCATAGTACTTGTGAAAAAGATCTCCTGAAAAAGATCTAGTAGACCACAGATTAAGCATGAGCCAGGGAAGAATGCAGAAGAGAACAATAAAGATGGTAAAAGTCTTGGAAGGTAATTCTTATGAAGAACTCTTTCAAAAACTGGATTTGTTTAGCCTAAGTAAGAGAAGGGTAATAGGAGACATGATATCAGTGATAGCAGTCTTCCAGTGCTTGAAAGGCTGTTGCAGTGAAGAAGGTATGAATTTGTTCTGCCTAATGCCTAAATGTAGGACAAAAGCAAATGGTGTATTTCCCAGAACCATTGGTACTCCTTGAGTGGAGATTTTTAAGCTAAAGTTGGACAACCACTTGCCTTGGATTATCTGAGGATTCCTACCCTGGGAGGGAAGACTTGGATTATAAAGCCTCCAAGCTACCTTCCAATGGATTCCAAAGAATTCCTATGATTTCATGAATTGAGTATATAAGCTAATAAATTAGGTCTAAATTGTGAGGCAGACATACACACACACACACATAGTTTGTGACTTAAGACTCATCCTCAGGTACCACAGTTGCACCTCTCCTGCAGTCACATGATTGCAGTTCAAATGCTTTGCATCTGTTTCATATTTAGTGTCTTGTGGTTATGTGTCTGCAATTTGTGATCTTCCCAGCTGGCTTCTGACAGGCAAAGTCAATTGAGAAAGCTGGATTCATTTTAATGACCACATGATTCACTTAACAGCAGTAAAAATGGCGGCAAAATCTGATCATGTGATAACAACTGTATCGCTTAGTATCTGAAGTTCTGGTCCCAGTTGTGGTCGTAAATCAAGGACTACCTGTATAAAATGCATAATTGCTCAATGCTCTACCATGAAAGCGAGAAAGTCAATAGTCATATCTTGGTAGATTTGGTATTAATTACAACTTCATTCTTGTTTTTTGCCTTCCCAGAGAATTTAGCATTAATCCATTCTCAACTACTGTTAACATAATGACAAATTAGATTTGATGTATCTAAAAGCTCACTGCAGATGTCTTCTGGAGAAGCTTAATGAGGCATCAACCTGATTGCCTCAGGACATCTTTGCCCTGATGAAATCTTGAGATATCCTTGAGATTTCCATATTACTATGTCATTTGCACTGCTTAATCCTATCATTTGCCCTGTTGCATTTTTTTTTTTTTTTTTGCATTTATGATGATAAGTTTTAACTGTGATTCTGCTACAAATGTTAGACATGTTTCATTTTTACCTGGAAACACTGTTGCAATCTGTTAGGCTTAAAGGAAATTCCCCTTCTTTTAAAGGTGATTTGGGATAGGCATAGATGTTCGCATTCTGCAGTGTTTTCAGTTTATTTTGCTGACATGTTCAGCATAGGTTTTACAATTCTCAAGAATGTTAAGGTTTTTTTTATCCAGTTTCAGATTGGCTGATCTGAGCAAAGCTATAACATTTTTGACCACAACAATCTGTATAGCAATGTGATACTTTGGTGCATAAACATGCTATTAGTGCTACTGTGTTTCCCTGAAAATAAGACCCTGTCTTACATTTTTTTTGAACCCTGAAATAAGCGTTGGCCTTATTGCCATGCGCTCAAAATCCCGATTGGGCTTATTATCAAGGATGTCTTATTTTGGGGGAAACAGGGTAATTGTAAAAGTTATTACCTTGTGTACAGAAGTCTCTGACTAAAATTGGTGTTGACAAGATCATTTTGGTGGAAGTGCTCTTGATAATACCCGTGTGCCATGAGAGCAAAAATGTGGAGTCACGCCCAAAATTAACTAAAGGATGAATATGTGGCTTTGATGCATGAAAGAAAAATAATCACTTTGAAAAAAAAAATACTGATATAACTAGTACTGGTGGCAACATATGACAGTAAACCTGTTGCTCCATGAGAACATAATCTTTCTTTACAATTTTATAAGAATAATCAGAGTATGTTCCCTGCCTTCCAAACAAATAAAAGCTACACAGCAATGAAGCAATCACAGAAAAACTCAGATTTTGAGGGCACCTGTGAGAACCCTGCCTGTGAAAAGGCACAAATGAGGACAAAGCTTATTTAAACCAAACATTTCCCAGCATTTGGGAGTGAGATAAAGTATTACTTGGTGCTGTAATGTGAGTAAGAGAGTGTTAAGGTTACCTATTCTGCATTTTTATAGAAGAGAATCTTTCTTGGAAGCAAAAAGTTACATTACCATTTCTAAACTCCCACCCCACACAGGCCCTGAAAATGTGCATTATTTCAAATAATTGCTTGTCTATTCAGAATACAAACTTTTATAAATACTGATTTGTACCGTATAATTATCTATTCTCATGCTTTTTTATGAAAAAGAACAGTATAGATTATTCTTTATTTAAACTTGATCTAATTGTAGGGATGTCATTTTTGATGATGTAGAAACTCTTAGTGTGATATATTTCATTTACTTATCCAAAAGTACATGTCACTCATTGGAATTTATTTCTAACTATCTTTTAGTAAGCTAAGAAGAAGAATGCTGGCATCTTTAGATATTTTTATATACAGAAGTATTATGTATTACAATGTATCAATTTACTGCATATTTACAATGCTATTTTGACAAAAAATCCCAATTTTCCAGGGTACAGGTTATGAATAGTAATTTATTGTAATAAGCATTAACCTTTAAGGAATCATATTCCATTTCGTAAATAAACTATTAAGTAGCATATCCTGACTTCGTCAGTTGCTCTTTCAAATTGTCATAAATCAAATCCTTCTCTGATAAAATAAAGGTAGCAGCTAATTACTATATGTAGATTTATTTCAGCTTCAGGTAGTCTTATGGACAACTGTTAAGTCAACCCGAATAGACTTTCAGATAATGAAAATAGGATTGCAGTCTCATCTTTTATTTAAAAATGGTTTAATACGTATCAAGATTCCTATTTAAAATATCTACTTTTTGTCTATTAATTAAATTAATTTTATTTTCCATCACTTGCAATATTTTAGCTTTTGTTTTATCCGTTTTTTTAATTCAAAACTTTGAGTCCTAATTTTGGAATTAATTGCAGATGGACATTAATAAGATCTAATCCATATCTTATATTTTATTTTTAATTACCTGGTTTTTAGCTTCCTTACTACCAGCTACCCATCCCTTTTCATTGTATATATTGTGCTTATCTGTGTAGTATGCTACTGTTTTTATTCAGTGTTTTATATTCTGCCATATAGTGGGAAAAGGACGGGGGGGGGGGGGAAATTAGCTGGATGCACTTTTTCAATATAACAAATTTCATTAAAAGGCATAAGCTTTCATAAACTATAGGTCAATAGTTCATATGCATGGAATGGAAGAGAGGTAACTCATAGACTTCTAGCTGTCTTGAATTCCAGTTCCCAACAGACTTGGTCAATAACATTAGTAATGTTAGTATTACTAATGTTAGTTATAGTATGTTCAGAACTGTAACCCACACCAAGATTTGAAAAGTTCCAGGTTATCTCTCTGGATTCTCTTGAGCATTTTAAGCTATTTTTTTTTATTCTTACATGTAAAAATACAGTACTTTGAAGAATTGTGCAATTGAAGTGTGTTTATATCTATGTATGTGTGCACAAAAACCTTCTATTTCCTTGGAGTACATAAAAATTGAATAATATATTTCTTTAGATCAGATAAAGTTTATTAAAAAAAATAGCATACGAAGACATATTTTTGCTTGCTGTATAGGGGTCAAATTTTTCTGTGTATATTTTCTTTCAGGATCATACGCTGTATCACAATGGTTTCAAAATTGGATACTTAACTTCCTTGCAAAATAGGATGAAGTGGAATTTTTTTTCTATTTGGTGACCATGTTTTTTTCTATATTCTTTTTAGTGGAGTGCCTTGGAAAACTACATAGGTAGTGCACTAATGTATCCAGAAAGCTAGGTATATTACTTCTGCCCCTTTTAGATGCTTTGGGAGAGCATGGAGATATTTTCACTCTGGGTGGCTAAGCAGATCTATTTTAAGTTTTTCTTTTTTTTTTCCCCCCTTTTTTTTTTAGTACCATTTTACCACAAAGCTCTTTTATCTAATACTGCAGGCTACTTCTGCTGACTGCTGGCTTTCAGCAGACCAGCAGTTCAAGTCTGACCAGCTCAAGGTTGACTCAGCCTTCCTTCCTCCTGAGGTTGGTAAAATGAGGACCCAGATTGTTGGGGGCAATTTGCTGAGTCTGTAAACTGCTTAGAGAGGGCTGTAAACCACTGATAGGGTATATAAGTGCTTTTGCTATTAAACATAAACCCGAAGCTCTAAGAATATAAATGAGGCTGGCAAAATAGACTAAGTATTGTTGGGATACAAAATCAAGATATGGTATATGGTCTTCTATATATTTTAAAAAAAGTATTTGCAAGTTGGGTTTTAGTTTCATTGAAATGTCAAATTATTGTAATAATTGAACCAATACAAACAGACAAGTGAACTACAATGGAAAAGTAGCACTTAAATTAAAATGCAGGTCTTTAAATGAACTAATGCTGTGACATAATCCAGTAAATTAAAAGTGCTAGTAGCAACACCACACTAAAATATTACATGCTGTCAAACTTGCTAATGCCTCTGAACAATGTTTAATAAATGCACTAATGTAAGACTCAAATACAACTCATCGAAAACTATTTTTGTAACATTCATGGGCAAAAATATCAGAAGTAACAAAACATGGACAAACCTAGACTAGAAGTCTTCTGAATCATAGTTTTATGTTATGTCCCCAGTCAGCAAGCTGTTTTTAAAAATGTATAATGTTTTGCTTTATTTTTTCATCCAACTTTTCCATAAATGTTTTGTCAATCAGTTATATATGCAAGAATTATCAATGTGTTTCTTACAGTTTAGCTGTCAATAACAGATGGAACAAAGTTTTCAAAAATGAATGGGTAAAAGACATTAACTTTAGCAATTAGTTTCTCATTTGCATAGCTGCCAACTTGATCTCTTTAATGCACATGTGTTCATGATTTTCCTGTTCCTGTTTTGAACACAAGAGGAAGTCCTGGAGAAACGGGCATTTCTTGCTTGCTTATGATAAAGTGAATTTGAGTCTATTTTGAATAAAAACAAAATAGCAAAAACTGTTTTATGCTGGTGAGTGGAATGCACAGTGTTTCGGTGCTGAATTATAGGGATGAGCATAAATTTTCAATGATATGGATTGCAATTCCTTCCCTAATTGTAATCCATAGGGAATTGTGAATTCAGCAGTAGTTTAACAGGAGAACCATCTGCTGTAGTGTTTCTAAATGCTTAACTGTAACTTGTATGGTTACAAATCTTTTTTGAGGCCTAGTGGCTGCTGAAAATGTTGCTTGCCTTGCACATCCAGTATCCCCGTTTGAAAAAATGAACAATTTGTAACTGCTAAAAATGCTGGGTTTTTCAAAATAAAAATCATCATGAAAAGTCCTCCTTATTTCAAGACATAAAATAAGATCACATTCAACAAACCAGAGCATGAGTTCATGGCTTACATATCTCTATGTTAAGTGTAGCACATCACTGCTGTACATGCCAGATATTTCTGCTATGAGCATTTTTCACACTGGCTTTGTTGATGTGCTTAAGTGTAATTAACTAATTTCATATAGTAAGTTATTACTAGTGCCCCATTTAACTTAAGCTTCTGAATATACAGTAAATGAGTATTCTAAATTCTAAAAGAGCTTGAGCCAACTTTTTTTCATCTGCATGTTTTTGATTAAAGTGCCCACAGAGGGGCAGTATTACTCTACTGTATTGAGTTCAACACTGCTGTTTCAAAATAAAACTTTGAAAGATGCTTTTAAACATTGGTAAGATGAGGATTTTAAAATTCTGCTCACTGGCCCAACTGCAGACCAGTTTAACTAAACACACGCTCTATACCATGAAATTTTCCCTTGCAGCGCTTACCAAGTAGTTAGATTTTAGTGCTTTCTTTTTATGTTGAGATTGCACAATCTAAATGAATGATAAATACTAAATGGAAATCCAGCTATTGAGGCGATAAATAAACAACACAGCCACAAGGAAACAATCTCTTAAATAAATTGTGAGCGCTTCAGGGGAACTGTCAGTAGCAACTCCTCATCACCTTGTTAAGAGAGACTTAAATCTAGGGCAGATGGTATTTTAAAGAAAAAGTCACTAAAAGTATAAAGAATAAAGTCACTAAAAGTATAAACAGGATAAAGAATGCAGATGTTGCTAGGTTAGATTCTATTTCTAATGTCATTGAGCCAAACCCTAAGAAGAAGCATCTTCCTCTGATCCCAAACTCATCTGTTTCTATTTCCAAGTCTGAGCAAGCCCATGAACATTTCAGTTACCTCAATTAGAATGATTTGAAAGAATGTTTATTCTGAAGGGATTTTCCAGCTTCCTAAGATGGATCACAGCACTGTTTATTTCTGGCAGACTACCATCCAGGTAATAATCATGTCTGATCCTGCTTAGCTTGCTGAAATTGACCAAAGTCACCAAGGTACTGCCACCCAACTAGACTTTTCTTTTTAAAAAACATACAAAATAGGTTTTCGATTTAGCTAGTGTATAGGTCAGAGTTCCCCAATCTTTCTGGGTTGGTGGCCTAGAGAGGAGGGAAAGGGGGGAGGTTTTGTGGGAGGGACAGGCGCATGCACGAGCACCCATCACTTGCACGAGTGGGGCCGCGAGCACCTGCAACGCTTGCACAAGTGAAGCCCCAAGCACCTACAATGTCTGTATGAGTATAGCCACAAGTGACCATGATGCTCCCACAAGTGGGCCCCGAGTGCCTGTGATCATGGTGCAAGTGGCCCCACTTGCTCCTGCAATGCTTGTGTGTGGGGCCCCAAATGCCCGTGATGCTCAATACGAATGGACCTCAAATCCCTGCAATGCTCATGCAAGAGGGGCTGCAAGCCCTTGCGATGCTCACATGATTGGGGCTATGAGCCTCCACAACACTCACACAAGTGGAACTGTGTCAGCCAGCCACTCACATGGCCCAGTTGCATATAGGTCGTGGCCCATTAGTGGGCCTTGGCCCACAGGTTGAAGACCTTTGCTATCATTTTATCTAGCCAAAACTGAAGCTTCTCTAGATTAGGAGGAACAAAAACAAACTGAAAAGATTTACAAAATGGTCTGCTAGGCTACTCCATCTGGGCATTATGCTAGTCATCTTTCCCCAGCATGCTGGTTGGTGGGGGATAGTTTTGAAAATCTAGGATCTATGAGGTTATTAACATATGAAAGGGATCCTCCCTAAAGAGTTTGCACTGGTCCACAAATAAAAACTTTAAAAAAATTGATATAGGGATATGTTGGCTTATTTAGGAATATATTACATCTATAAGATGATACCCTAATGCAAGGGTGAAATGCTCCCAGTTTGGACCAAATCACCTGATCCGGTAGCGATGGAGGCGGGTGGTTCGGAAAACTGGTAGCAAAAATCCCTGCCTCCCCCCTTGCCCCCCCCCCCCATGCCCAGCTGAGCCACACAATCATCAGAGATTTTTTTTTTTTTTTACTTTTAAAAGCGTTTTTTCTACAATCTCTCCGGCCGAAAAAATGCTTTTAAAAGTAAAAAAAAAAGCCTCTGATAATCACTCGGCTCAGCTGGGATCATCAAAGGCTTTTAAAAGGAAAAAAACCCTCTGACGATCCAAGCTGAGTTGCTGTTGAATGGAGTTCTCGTCAGTAGCAATGTGTTTACAGATACTTTGATACTAACTAGGTTCCATACCTTAATGATATAATGAGTTCTTTACAATTTCGTTTTTAGGAATCTAGATACCAAATTTTTCATGCAAAGATAATGTTATTACACAGCCCTGTATTTTTGTTGTGAAGCATTCTCAGATGATGAATGTAGAAAGAATTAGTAATAAAAAAATAGGCCAAAATTTGGAACACTAAGAAATATATTTTGTTTTTCTAAATGCTAAGTAGTATATTATTCAAGTATTTCATTTGCATTTATATGCTGAGCATTGTCAGCCCCTCTTTACGGAAACTTGTATTGTGCCTTAAGTGACCTATCTCAGCCATGTAGTTCATTTCTTGGCCAAATTACTTTTTTCTTAATGCCACCTATTTGCCCTCTGTGAAGCAGCGTAAGAAAATTGTTAATTCATGGCTGTACTTTCTCCTTTGGAACTTGAACATCATCTCTGACTAATGTTTTTGGGGGACCTATTTTTTCTTACCTATTTGCCACATGAAAAAATAATATTTTGTGACCAGGCGCAACAGCCACTTTGATCAATGGATAGGCTTTTTGTCTGGCACAATAATTTGGTTGACAGTGCCCAACACAATTTAAAAAGAAGGAAAAAATCTCCAAATATGCCCATTAAATGTCCCTAATCTGTTTTCTAGCTGAGAATACACATCTTCCTCAGTATTAACCATGCTGCCAGTTTAGAACGCAAACGCCTATGCAAACGCCCTTCTGCCAATGCAGGCTCCTCAATTTATTTCAATAAATTGCATTAGCAATTAAACAATATTACATGCTATTTTTCCCTGAATAGTTTCTAGTGCTCTTTGTAAGGTCAAGATTTTTATATAGCAATTGATTAACGACCGTTAAGAGCCAGTCTGGTCAGGTAGTGGTTAAAGCACCAGGCTAGAAAAGCAAAAGACCCTTGGCTCTTTTGACTGAAGGCTGAGTTTTAATCCTGCCTTCAACCAGGTGGTGGCCTTGAGCTAGTGATTCTCTCTCAATTCTAGGAAGGACACAAAGACAAATGTATTTGTATGTATTTGTATGTATTTTAATTTTGGCTGTTCACCACCCTGAGTCCTTCGGGAGAAGGGCGGTATACAAATTTAAATAAATAAAAAATAAATAAATAAATAAATGAATGCCCTTTAAAATCTTACCAAGAAAACTGCAGGGACTTCTTCCAGTACTTTCCAGGAGTCAAGACTGACTCAAAGACAAATATACAAAAAAACCCCATCTATATTAAAAATCAATAGAGCCAACAGCTTCGTTTTAGAAAATGAATGCATTTTAAAAAGCCACAGCAGTTCATTTAGAAAGCCGAAGCAGAAACAGTTTCACTGAAAGCAGGCAAAGCTTCCGCATTATATGTCATGCATTTAGGTTCCAGGAGTTGAACGTAATTCTTAACTGTTTAATGGTCAAAAGACTTTTTAAAAATGGGAACTTTGTGGTATAGACAGCAGCAAGAATTTGTTATGCACAAAAATGGAAAGCTATATTAATTCCCACAACGGAAGAATGGTTGGAGGTGATGGAACTAATTAACTGCTTTAATCAAAGGGGAAAATACATCTAACTTTCTGTCTGGAAACCACTTCTGGATTTTGTGCTTGAGATAGAAAAAAAATGAAACTTTGTCTTTGGAATTTACTGATTAGACGGGGTTTTTTTTGCTATAAAAATGCTAGTATAAACAAAGTATGCAAAGTAAAAAGTTGACTCTGTAACATGATGTTCATTCATTCTTCTGCACTGAAAAATCGGAAGTTAATTATTTGGGAGTTTTCTTCCTCTTTATCCTACAGTTTTCTCCCCTTTCTCCACAATTTTTATTTTCATTGGTATTTTATAAAGTTTAATAAAATTATATTGTTAAAGAAATCTTAACTGGGGATTAGGCTAAATCAAAATGACAAGTGTCAGAAGACTTTCAGCAATGATGGGAGTGTGTGATTGAAGAGTCTTTGGAAGAGGTGAAAGTGATCACAACCTTTCTGAATGCTGAATGCTATACTTACCCCAAAGTTATGTCTTCAGATACAATTATTATTTTCATATTTCTTCCTTGTCTTCTATTTTTGGTAAAGGTAAAAACCATGTCTATGAATCTCTGAATCTCTATGAATAGACCAGGGGTGTCAGGATTCTGCCTGCAGGGTGCTTAAATCTGGCCCACAGAGCTGGCCTGGAAATATCAAGGGACTGGCCCACGGTGCCTCTGGGCTGCATGCACCCCCTCCCCCCGGTGCCTCATTTTCACCCTCCATGGCTGCCTGCAGCACTCTGGCCGGCCAAAAACTGGACAAAAATAGGGACGAATATAGGGATGAGAAAGGGCCAAAAACAGCCAGCAGAGTTCTACAGGAGGCCATGGAGAGTGAAAATAAGGTGCGGGGGGGACACTCATGGACCCCCCCCATGCCCCGTTTTGGCCAGCAGGGTGCTGCAGGAGGCATCCATCTGCCCCCACCCCCGCCGGCCCACAGAGAACTACAATGCTGATCCAGCCCTCGAAGAAATCCAGTTTGACACTCCTGCCATAGACACTAAAAGCTATGTTGCCTACTTGTTCGAATCTATTGGTCTTTTTGGGTATCTGGTATAAAGTAGTATCGTCTTTGGCCATGTGGCTTGGTATCACCAATTTTGCCAGGCAGCACCTATCTGTGGAATCAGATGGGAAAGTTGCTATCATGGAGAAAATGCCAGACTGTAGTTCCTAGCCATCCTAGTCTCAATTCCCTACCTCTATTTTAGAGTCCTTTGTAGTGATTACCTTCACTACTAAATTTTTAACTAAGGATGGTGCAAACTGGGCAGCATACTGCATGCTAAACAGCTATTTTACTGGAGGACTCTGCTCCCTTGCTATCTTACTTGCCCACTGTTGATTTTTTTCCCAGAAGGGAGCCAAGGTCTTCAAGCATGCAGCTTTTAGCAGTGGATATGGTAGTTGTCTGTTTGGGTTTGAGGCTATAGCGCAAAGGAACCACAAGATGGATTTTAAAGAGAATTAAGGCAATAAGAAAGGCTGAGAAAGTGAGAACTGCTTGTCAGACAGGGTTACATTTCCATCTTGGTTATATGCAAAAAAAGAGAAAATATGTGAATAAGCCTCAAAGCTGTTTCACATGAAAATGTCAAATAAAGATAACAAAGCTTTGTTTCTTAACAGTCAATATGTCTGAAAGGACTTTCTGTATCTCTTTTGCTTGCTTTTTCTTTTTTTAAATTAAGGAGGTGATTTTTATGGGTTTTTTTAAAAACGTATGCCTTGCCTGCAGTTTATTCCATGGAAGAGAATACTTTGCCATTGGTGTCTACATTTTTTGATCATCTGTAAAGTTTAAATTCTGTTATGTTTTTGACAAATAAATGATTTCACATTAGGGCTCAGCCCGTGCATCTCCCTTACATTTAGTTCTTCAGCCAAACTACCTATAATTTGGATGTGAATCAAAACAGTGGGCTGAAAACTGTTTTTGAACTTGGATCTAGTTCTGCACTGAATTGCAATTGTTGAAAGTTTTTTCCTAGTGTTTTATTTTCTTAAAAATGAGTTTTTGTGACAAACCATACTCCTTATGGCAGCCTTGTTGTGAGCTTGATTGTGACACCTTCTCAATATTCAGGTTTTTGTTTTTTTTCATTGTCCCAAAAAAGTGTGTAATGCTTGGTTTATGTCTACTTCCACCAGATATTTAGAATAACTAATTATTGTTTTCAAGCAGAAGAATTTTTCCTAACATTGCATCTTCCAAACATGTTGTGCTCCAAGTCAGTGTACATAGAAAAATGTTCTCGTTTTCCTAATTAACTGTACTTTTTGTGACAAGAAAGTTGCATACACGATAGAACATGGGTAGTATTTGTTAAATGTTTATTTTGAACTGGCAGGAAAAGCACACATCCCACATTCTCCAGACAGATTTTATTCTACTGCTTGGCTTTTTTTGCATAATGCAATTATTTTTACCATTTGAACAGCTAAATAAGTTATGGTTGGATTGTGCTAAGACACCCAATAGCACTTCTTTATCTGCAGCTATATGAAGAAATTTGCCTTCTCCTTGGATTATGTATGATTTCCATCAAAAGGGAACCACTGCCAAATAAGCATTATATGTATGAAAATTATATTAGGAAACTGGATTTAAAACAAAACAAAAAAACAAAAAACCCCTATCAATTCTAGATACTAAAGGCCATTGCCCCATCAATATCAAGAGACCTGCAGGAGGAAGGCAACTAGCCACAAAACTTAAAACATTCTTTCTCTATTCTCTTTGTTAAAGAATGGGTTGGTTACCAAAGATGTATGGAAATATTTCCAGAAATCACTATACCAGTTCCAAGAACCTCATCTAACTTGATCCTGATATTTGCAGCAGTCAATCATTATAGCAGTTGTAGATATTCCCTGTTCCGTATGGAATTTTTGCACAGAAGGGTTTCCAACAATAAAGGCTATTCCCACCAGTCAAAGGGGTTGTCTGCTATTACCGCACTAATGCAAATGCAACCTTTCTTTCATTGTTGTTATCAATAAAAGCTATTTCCAGAATATTCAGTCTTAAACCCAGCAACCCCTGATTTATAGAAGCTAGTAGCTCAAAATCATTATTGCATACTTACCAGCTCAGCACTGGTGTTGTGTTTGGCAAGCAGTCAGATACCTTCCCTAAAGGCCTGCTTTTAGTAGTTTTCTGAAAATAATTTGAGTAATTCCTGAGATGTACTGCAATCAAAACATCAAAACAATATGCTAGCCACAGTAGTTTTGTTTTAGGCTACTGCTTTCATTTTGGGTGACTCTATCACCCAGAATAGAGTTTGTTACTCTGACCAGCTCTGATGATAGAGAGTGGAAGAAGTTTTACTGCTCCTATTTTTATAGTTTAGGTGTACACCATATTATAATGAAAATGGTTCATTGTCCTACAAAGGGATGTACCACTGCAACAACCTTGGCTTCCTTGTATTTTTCACAAGACATCGCAATTGAGAAGAAATAACTGCCTGTCGCTAACATTGGAGTTCATCTTCCCAATCTGCAAGGCAGAATAAAACTAGGATTACAATGTTAACCCTCCAGATAAGACAAAAACGGAATGCAGCTGAGGGCACGAAAATCTAGCTAGAAAAACAAACTCTGAGAAACCATTGCTCTGAGACAACATTGGAATGTTTCAGCTGAAACAACTTTGTACCTTTGTAGTCCACAGAAAGGACCCTCATAATATTAGAGCCTAAGAACACAATCAGCTTCAGGATATGCCCTGTAGATCTAATTCTTGATCTAAGCAGCATGAAAAGTAACATCGGCTTCCTCTGCTGTGCAGGAGTGTTCTGTTCCTTTGTTTCAACAGACAGATGTGCAATTCAGTTCTGCAGGCTCCTCCATGACTGAGGTGGCCAGTTCTTCTGGTCCATCTGCTATGCTGGGCTCACTAGAAAACTGTCTGTGGTTCAAACTGGGTTGCAAGAGGAGACATTGGTCGCCATTGTCTGGTTCTTCTGCTAGCATGCCTGAGTGCATAATGGAAGCCATGGCCAACAGTTGGATATCAGAATGAGCATTGGCGACAGTATGCCGGCGGATGCTCCCACACTTCTCAAGGTAAGCCTCGCCTTCCTGTTCAGTCAGGGGTGTCAAGGCGGTCTCACTGACCTGTCGGGTTGCCACTGTGTGAGAAGAAATGCTTAGCCCGTTGGGTTTGTAACGAGATCTGTAATACCGTCTCTCTGGAAAACAAGGGGAAAGAAGACATTTTTGTTAATTGTTTACCACTGCAAGAATTGGTTTCTCCAGATTTTGTTTCTGTGAAAGGCACATTAAATATTTCTTCATCTTTAGTTTTGGCAACAAGTTGCAACATGTGGATAATAAGGATATTTGGGAATAAAAAAAATACAAGTTATACAATTGATTATACTTTAATCTCCTGCACCAGTTTGATCCTATGTTAGAAGTCCATGTTATGACAGAGAGGAACTTATGACACTGGGGAACTTTGGCATTGTTGTAATATAATCCCTCTTCTCAAGTTGTTTTACACTTAAAAGGGTAAGTGTGTAGTAGTAACCTAAATTTTCACCCCTAAATCCACTAAATTTAGAAGAGGTGTCTAATAAATACTGTATAAGTTTATAACCTGTACATGCATGGTGTGTGACATGCATTGTGTGTGACTAATTATCCTTCTGGACATTGCGTAGAATCTGACACAGATTCTTCCCTGATGTAACTTTTCACCATATACAATTCAGAATGATTGTATTATGGGCAAAGTTAACAGCATAACAATTGGTGGCAAAGCAAAACAAATTTATATGTGAGAAATTTACTGCCTATTCTACATGCAGACCTAACAAAACAACTCCACTTGAAACATTTTATTAAAACAATAACTTGTGTCAAAACAAAGTAAAAGTGTTAGAACATACATATCTTCATTTTCAAGTTTCTAGCACCCTAGAATGAATCATTTTGAGATAAGAACAGTCTATTTTAAAGTTTGCTTCTATGACAGAACATTTAAAATTCTTATTCTCAAAACCCTGGGGGCATAAATTTTCTCCAAGCAGTCATTTTGCATATTTCTACTATGAACCCAATTTTTTTTCAACTTGATACCCTACGGAGCCCATTGCAGTCCTATGCTTCTGGTGGATACTACTTTAGAGAAAGCTTGTGTAATCACTGATCTAGTGAGCTTCCCAGTTTGAATTCATTGCCATTTTTAACAAAAGGATTGTTACAAGATAGGTGGAGAAAACCAGTAACATTTTAGATATGGCTGAATTCCAATTCCCAGCATCTCCAGCTAGCACGGGCAGTGCTAAGTGATAGTAGTAACTTTAATTCAACTACAGCTAGACAAAAACAGATACTTTCTTCCAGCTCTAAGGTAATAGAAATCATGGATGAAAGTAGTAGATACTGCTTTCTTTCAGTTCCATTGGCCAACAGTATTCCCTACACAGGAGGAATTCACATGGATCTAACTAGCAACTTTTAGTACATTCAATTATAAGAATGATGAGGATGGAATTACAGGTCACATATTCTAAAGGTACAATATACAAGCGCAGACAGACTCAATTTTATTTTAGGGGAGGGAGCTCTCAAACCCTAAGTGCCCCAAGGAAAAATATGTACACATTCCAAACTCTTAAAGAATTATGAACTCAGGAATTTGTTTTGAATCCCTGAACATGCATTTTTCCATGTCTGCTCGCCTCAAGCTTTTTTCATTTGCAGTAAGTTATACTTTTAAATAAGGAGTCATTTTATAGTTGCTGTTGTTATTATTGGGAACTGAAAATCCTTGTATTATCATTCAGAACTCCACTGATAGTTTCTCCTCTAGTTTCTACCTGCTCCTGAACTACAAAGCTGTACCACTTCCTTTTTCTTCCACTTCCTTATATCAAACAATATGCTGTATTAGAAACAGGGATCCTTCTGCTTCTGGGTAAGGTATGACAAACTGAAGACAATTCTGCAAAGTGCAGTTGATAATCTCAGCAGTTTATCTGAACCTCTCCAGATAAGGAGAAAATGGGAGACCACCCATATATGCTTCAGGACAATAGTTTTCATCAGGTTTGAGTGCTGGGAGACAAAGAGATAAGCCATCTTGCTCAAGTGAAGCCTTTTAAAGGACACTAAATTTGCAAACCCCACTTTCTAATCGTTTGGGACTTCCAAAACAATCAAATGTTATAACATTGGAAATATTAAATGAGTTATTTGAAGAATAGATATTAGAGTCCAAAAGATATTAACAAAGTAATGACAGATACTATATGGAACAATTTTTATCTGACAAGACAGAGAAGGCACTGAAAGTGGAACTACAAATAACAGATCAACAGAATGATTTGGAAAAGAACACTTACTGGGTATAAGAAATCCTTGATTGTTGGGTGCTGCCCAGAGTTGCTTTTGATGAGATTTGGTGAAATTTGATCGGAGGAGAGAGGAGATGGAGAGGGGAGGGGAGCAAAGGGAAGGGAAGACTGGCTGGAGTTTTAAAAATTAAAAGGACAAATGATAAACCAAGAGAATGACCTGGAAAATGTTTTCTTATTGGATTTACAAAAGAGGCTTGCTTTATAAAGCCTTGAATAAACTTGTATAATAGGATAAAGAAGAATTGAAAAGAAATTAAATCCTAAAACTATATTTGATTGAATTAAAGATTAAGACTGTTAGGAATAAAAGAAAGAAACAAAGTTGGTTTATTTGATCAAGGTTAAAGTAGGCTTTTTTTGTTCTGTAACATTTGCAACATTTTGCAATGTTCTGGAAAACCATTTACTTTTTGCTGACACCAGGGCTGAAAGTTTTATGTTTTATGGATTTATTTATAGATAAGGATGGGATAAGGGCTGAAAAGGTTACAGGAGCTGAAGAGTTATTAAATGTATTTATATTGTAATGAAGTTTGGAAGTCATTTCCTTTCTTTTTACATGTTTTATTATTTCCATTCTCTTTCTCTAAGTTTACATTAGCTTTTAGTATTGTATTTTAAATTCTTAATAAAACTTATATTAAAAAAAAAGAAACAGGAATCTCCCTAAAATACAGCTGCTTTAATAAGTCATGGACTTATGAACTACATTCATGATCCCACATGTACTAAAGCACCTCTTCTAAGTTCATAGACACTCTGTACAGGTAATCCTCAACTTACAACAGTTCTTTTAGTGACTGTTGAAAGTTACAATGGCATGGAAAAAAGTGACTTATAACAATTTTTCACATGCCCATTACAACCGTCCCATGGGCGTGTGATCAAAATTCAGATGCTTAGAAACTGGTTGATATTTATGATGGTTGTGTCCCGGGATCATGTGATCAACTTTTTTTTTTTTTAATTTGATTTATATGCCGCCCTTCTCCGAAGACTCAGGGCGGCTTACAATGTGCTCAGCAATAGCCTTCATCCTTTTGTATATTTATACAAAGTCAGCTTATTGCCCCCACAAACTGGGTCCTCATTTCACCTACCTTAGAAAGGATGGAAGGCTGAGTCAACCTTGAGCCTTGGCGAGATTCGAACCCTGCAGTAATTGCAGGCAGCTGGTCTTAATAACCAGCTTAATAACAGGGTGCCTTAAACCCCTGTACTACCAAGGCTCTTTTGTGAACTTCTTATCAGCAAAGTCAAAGGGGAAGCCAGATTCACTTTACAATCATGTTACTTAACACTTAACAACTGCAGTGATTCACGTTTTAACAACTGTGGCAAGAAAGATCGTAAAATGGGGCAAAACTCTCATAACAACTGTCTCACTTAGCAATATAAATTTTAGGCTCAATTATGGTCGTAAGTCGAAGAGTAGCTATAGTATAGCGATGAAGATGCTGGACTGGCATTGGGGAGATTCAACTTCCAGTCCACGCTCAACATTTGAATTTAACCAGATGAATTTGGATCCGCCATTCACTATCAGCCTAACCTGCCTCACAGTGTTGTAGAGAAAAGGAGAATAGAGAGATGCTATGTATGCTGGTATCCTCACACTACTTCATACTATTCTAAAAACATTTCCAATACACCTATACACCACAGAGAAAAGTATGACATCAATAAAACTCAACTTGCTTTTTTTTTTCTCCAGCAGACATCTCCCCTGATAGTTCTGTTCAACAGAAACACTACATCCAAAATAGCTGCTGCAACATTTATTATTGCAGCACGGGAAGATTTCAGAAATGGCTCACATTTTACAGCACAGTACACTTTCACAAGACTAAGCATTAAAAAAACATCTTATGGGGAAAGAAATCACAACTATCTTGCTGTGTCACCAAGACAGAGGTACTAAATAAGCATAACACCCCAAATTTCAGAGATAGAGTGGTATTTCATTTGCTATTGGTTAACGCATCAGCCTAACACCATGAATTCTAGTCCTGCCTTAGGCACGAAAGACAGCTGAGTGGCTTTGGGCCAGTCAGTCGCTTAGCCCAATTTACCTTACAGGATTATTGTTGTGAGAAATATAGGAAGAGGAAGGAATATTAGGTATGTTTGCCACCTTGAGTTGTTTATAAAAAATATTTTTTTAAAAATCTATCTAAATAGTTTTTCCTTAGTTTTCATAGATGTAAGTTGTAATGGATTTACTTTCAACCAGGGGTGAAATTTAGCCAGTTCTATCCGGCTAAGGCGAACCAATAGTGGTGGCTACGGGAGGCTCCGCCCACCCATGTGGACATCATGATGTCTCTTTTTTGCAATTATTTTAAGCCTTTGCACATGGGCAAAAGGCTTTGCGTGTGCACAGAAGGCTTTCAACATGCGCGGACGACGGCGCTTGCACATTTGCGAACCGGTAGGGAAGGTAAGTGAATTTCACCCCTGCTTTCAACCAATTCATATCTGAATTGAACTCAGTTTAAAGCTAATAGCTTATTCTTTCATTGGTAATGGTTATTGAAGAACACTGAATTAACCTATTTTGTCTCAATATTATCCAAACCTATAACTGGGAGCAAATACTGGCAGTTAGACTTTCACTGTTTAAAGCTCTCTTCTTTTTATTCCAACTCATAATACAAGTCAGGAATGAAACACTGAAACAAGTCCCTTAAAGAGAAAAGATAGATGCTGAGGTGTAGCCACCCTTTATCTGACAACCAAGAATTATATAGTCAGAAAGTCCATTCCAATTTGACCATAAATAGGAGGCTGCTGTGAAGCAGTAGTTTGTAAATTCCATGCGTACT